GGTTAAAAAGAAAAAGTGATCAGAGGAGGAGATTAAATGACTGCATGGTCCACTAGAGAGCAGACAATGATGCACTGTTATAAAGGGGTCCCTAAGGCTAAGATTTGTCTTAACGAAATATTATGCAAAGCGCTGTATATTCTCTCCGAAGTTTTATTCACAAAAATGTTTTGCTCTTTTTTTTAATATAATTAAGAGATTTGTCTTGTTCAGCCCTGTGAGCAGAATGAGAGAAATCAAGAGCTTCCAAAGATTCCCCTATCTCTCGACGGCTATTGTATTCTGACAGCTGCTCCTGCAGAATATCCAAACAGTGACTGCATTTGATAGGCTGCTGTCACTGTTCGGCCAAGAATCTTCCATCCGGCTCCTTTGCATTTTCAGATCAGATGAAAGGTCCTTTTCCTCCATTCATAAATTGCTTTTCATTCACAAAAGCTATAGAACAGCTTCTAAGAATGGTGGAGGGGATAGAAAGTTGAGGCATAGTCAGAGTCACAGGCTCAGCACTGGTATTAACCCTGTAGCACCAGAAGATTACAGCTCAGGGGTATGATAGAGAAGAGAGAGGATTTTGGATTTCCACTATGACCGCCAGCACCAGCACAACACATTAAATGCAATCAACGTCTTTCGTGCGAATTTGTAAAAAAAAGCGAAAACTTTTTTTTATCTAAAAGCAGGCTTTACAGTGATCGTAGTAACAACTACCTGAATTTATCACATATGTCGTTAATGTTGCACAAACTGACACAAATGCTTACTTGAATTAGGCGTAGGTAGTTTTAAAGAGAACTACTGACAGAAAATTGTCATTAATGTTTTATTGGATTCCCCAAATGTCTTTTAGCTTCTAAGTGTACATTATGGAACCTAATAACAGATCCTCATAGCGGTTTACCTCTTCCTTGACCACAGGGCTTTGTTATCTGACACTGTTAAGAACATGGAGGAGCTGGGAGAAAGCCTGAAATGACCTGTACTGAGATGCACTGGTCATTTGAGTAAATGCTGCCATACTAGGATGAATGATAAATGAAAAGAACAGGTTCTTCCATCCACACAAATGCCCCCTACCCAGTGGCACCCACTGTTGTCAAAATACACTGATCAGTGACTGCAACTGACTGGTCACAGCTGATGATTGATCGAAAATTTCCCAACATGTGGGTGGCACAGTGGCTTAGTGGTTAGCATGTCTGCCTCGCAGTAAATGGGTCATGGGTTCGATTCCTGACCATGGCGCCTCCTGCATGGAGTTTGCATGTTCTCCCTGTGCTTGCGTGGGTTTCCTCCGAGTGCTCCGGTTTGCTCCCACACTCCAAAGACATGCTGGTAGGTTATTGGATCCTGTCTAAATTGGCCCAAATATGTGTATGTATGAATGTGAGTTAGGGACCTTAGATTGTACTCCCCTTGAGGGTTAGGGACTGATGTGAATGTTCAATGTATATGTGTAAAGCGCTGCGTAAATTGACGGCGCTATATAAGTACCTGAAATAAATAAATAATGTCCCTTTGACAGGGGAAACCCAGCATGGACTGGCCAAATTTCAATCAGTGTATAGCAAGCTTAAAGTGGTTCCAAAGCGGAAACAATCTTTTTTTTTACCTTAAAGCATTCCCTGCATTAAGGTAAAAAAACATTTTTCCACTTGCTGTGACCACCCCCACAAACTCTTAGACCAAGTGGGGACACAGAAGTAGAGGAGCCAAGATTGCAGCCAGGGGATCCCAGAAGAGGAGGGTTCAGGGCATGCCTGCAAAACCATTGCACAAAACAGGTAAATATAGCATTATTATTTTAATAAAAGAAATGTATATATTTTTGCCTTTAGAAATGTAATAAGGTGTCCCCCAAAGAACGTAATAGGTTTATGGATGCATCTCACTGAACAGCTTTCATTAATTCATTCATAATGTGGCAGTGCGGTGTCCTGCCACGGTCAAAATCAAGCTGAAAACCCTGGATTCTCAACCAGGCAGGTTGAGGGGCTCCAGAAAGTTGATGTATTGCAGAGGAAACTGGCTTTTCGGTTTCCTCATTTATTCATTAAGTCTGTTTTGGGATCTGGAGCCTGGAGATTTCAAAGAGATCTGGGAGGGATGAAATCTCCAATCCGGGGACCGTGTTTTGAGAACCCCCAGCACACTGATTGCACAGGTGTGTGCAGGCCTTTTTGTAGAGGCCTAACCATGGTTCTGGGCTCCACCCCGGCAGAGAGGAGTCAGGAGGGCTCCACCCTGGCAGACGGGAGGTCTCTGCCTTGGAGTCAGGTGGAAGCCAGACTAGCTGTGTGCTAGTGGCCATAATTTGGGAAGAGTCTGCAGGAGACAGACAGTGAACTGTGTACAAGCCAGGAGGCTGAATCTTTGTTGGTATTGCTTGATGGTGGATACCCCTGCATGGGAAGCATTTTTGTTGAACTTTTTTCTTTTAAATAAAAGTGGGCAAAAAAGCCCTTACAGAAGCGAGTTGCTGTGTGCTTTAACAAGAAGAGCTCTACCATTTGAAGCGAGTTCCCACAATAGGTAAATGCAAAGTGTTCATCTCTTTCTTTGAGAATCTCTTCAGTCATTATCGCTGTATCAGAGGTGGCATTAAACCACTCAGATTCAAAATGTCACTTTCATTTCCCACTGCATAAGTGAAAAGAAAATCTGCTGCATATTAGTGGAAATCTACTGCCCCTAATTAACAGTGTAGGCTTCTATTACTAAACAGCTTGTTTTTATTGAGAAGTCTATAATGATGAAGCTGTTGGATGTGAGTGAAAGGTATTTGTTGGCATCCAATACTTGTTATGCCAAACATCCTACTGAAGAGCTTCCTCCTTGGCAAGCACCCCTTCCACCCACTCACTCATTGCCAACCAATCTAGTGATTGAGAAATCTGTGACAACAACCTCATCTTAACCTTTTCAAGATGTGTGGGGATGGAATGTGGATATGGCAGCACAATGGTTTGAATACCCAGACTGTTTGGGTTTTTTTGGCCCAGCAAAGTCTTTGCTCTGCAAAGGTTGCAATTCAGTTTTTATTTCCTAATAAAAAAGTACTCTAGTATAAATAATAATAAAAAGCAAAATACGGTTTTAAAGGAGAAGTATAGCCAGAAATCGTTTGGCTGTACTTCTCCTATGGATCACTGGAGTGCAGTTCGTTCTGCACTCTTGTGACCCGATTTCAACCAACAGCGGGCTAAAGTCCGTTGTTGACAGACGTCGCTCAGCGGATCCAGGCTGGGGAAATATCTTGACTTTAACGTTGGGATCCACACAGGTGTTTGGACTGGCACAGCCTCTCAGCGAGCCGCTGAGAGCCTGAGCCAGTGCGATAGTCAGCACTCTCTGCTCAGAGTGGCAAGGAAAAAACTGAGAGATCAGCGGTGTCTGATTGCTCAGTTCTCACCCTTAGAGCTGGCGGGGGACTGATGCAGAATTGGATTGATGATGCATCCACCTAGATATGTTTGATTTAAAAAATAAAAAACAACAAAAAACACTTCTTTTAAATATAACTTTGATGTAATAACTGAATATAAGCAATTGCTTTTAACAACTTTCCTTTTCACTAGACATTCTGCAAAATTGACACCTTCATAATCTGAAATTTTTGACCTTACCCAACAATTCCATTTTGACCTTAAAAAAAGCAATAGCAACCAAAATGTTTTATTTTCCCTAAAGAAATGGTTGTAGGTTTTCTGAAATTCTATGGGGTTATTCTAGCTGCAAAGGTGATGGAAATCAACAGATCGCAGGTGCAATGTAGGGCTCCTGCAGACTGTCAGTGTATCTGTCTGCTTGTACCTCGTAAGGGCAGGCAGTTACACAATAGGAGGAATCAATGAACTATCCAGAGTACTCACCTGCGCCCTGATGGTACATTGAGAACTGAAAGCTGTTAGCCACAAAGGCCGATGGTAGTTGTAGTTCTCTGAACTCTGTGAATGAATGATGCGGCCAGGTGGGCAGAGCCCCAAGCGCCATTTTTTTTTTTTTTAAATTGTGACTATGGGTGTGGGGAGAAGATCCCCAATCCACTGTCACAGGGAGGGGGAGGAAATCAAGGCTTACAGCTGCAGGAACATGTTACATGTTCCACCCTAAAAACAAGTGGAACATGTAACATGTTCCCAAAGGTGAACTTATCCTTTAAACTTTGTATTTGTTACCTGTTCATTGTTACTGCTGCTTTAAGCTGGCCATAGATGGGTCCATTTTTTTTGCTCAACCAACTGAATGAAAACACTGACCTGATTGCATATGTGTGGATGGAGATATCCTCTCCGCTGTGTTATTGTATTCTGACAGTGGGGAGATTTCCTTGCAGTCAGAATACTCAGATCAGCACTGCAAGTTATAGCCGGCAGAGCTGATCAAAAGATGATTTTCCAGCAGGGTGGTTGTACAGTAATTGATCAGTAAAATCACATTTGTACAACTACAGTGCCCACACATGGAACAAAATTCATCCAGTCCCTGCTGAACTATCCAAGTTTCAATCCATATATTTAGGAAGAAGTATTTAGAGATCAAAATGCCACTTACTATAGGTGGCTAATAAAGGTCCTGTCTTTACCTTTGATTATGGTGTGCATATGATATCATATTTTGTACATGACAGTGCCATTCAGCACTTCATCTTAGCACCCACTGATGAGATGATCTATTGCTGTATTGAATGTGTTAGATTCTTTGTATTCATGTTCTGATGATAGAGGGCAGGGAGCTCTGCCAATGAGTACTTCTAGTAAGAAAGTGACAATTCAGGCATTAACTATTTTGGGGGGGGAAGGGGGAAGACATAATTGTAGCTCTTGAGTATCACAATTGTTCAGCTATGTGCAGGTGTGGTTTTAAATGAATGGCTATCAACAGTCCAGAAGGGAAAAAAGAGGTGCTGACGTCAAAGAGAGGAGAGGGAGAGCTGGGGTGGGCACATGCACAGATGGGTCTATAATGGGCAATACCTGCCAAGTACTACTGATCTCCATTATTACTTTACATACTTGTGGTGAATCATCAAAAAGTCTCTGTGCCAAATGAGAGAGAACATCGTCCACTGACTTCCCGTTGCCATACTGTATCACAGCTCCTGTTGTCTGGATGACAGCTACACGCACTTTAGAATGCTGATGTGATATTGTCTGCATAAGAGGTTTTATGAGCGATTCTGACTGCATGTGAAAATGTTCTGAAACAAAAAAGAAAAATGTACATCCTGAGTTTTTTTCCAGAAACAGACAAAAGTCAAAATAAGTAAGATACTGGAGTAGATTTCTTTTAAACTGATGCAGTAGAGATTCTGTTATCCAGTAAGGTGCTATCTGGTTGTGTAATTCATGCCTATTTCCCCATGTTTATCGCTGCAAGTGCAGAAATATAACCGTTTATATGCCAGAAATACACTCATTGGTCAAGCTGCTGCTGCTAGAAAGGACTGAGTGCAGTGTGCATATGAGCATTTTGAACGAGCTGGAGCAGCTGCTGGAGGTGCACTTCCAATGTCCCGCCAGACTTTCTGCTGACAGGCCAGGGCTGGCCCTCACATATGGAGGAATAACAGAACACCATTTTTACTGGCTGAACAGTATGTTCTGGGGATCCTAGAATGCAAGGGGTTTTTTTTTGGGGGGGGGGGGGGAATAAATAAGGAAAGGTGAACTAACCCTTTAAAGCAGAGCTCCACCCAAAAGGGGAAGTTCCGCTTTTAAGGACTGCTCCCGCTCTCCATTAAGGATTGGCACATTTGTGGGGGGGGAGAGCGAGTACCCGAATTTGACAGGTACCCGCTCCCACTTCCGGTCTGATCGCCTAGGCGATCGGAAGGTGTCCTCCCTCCCTGTAGTCTTTTGGGACACATGACAAGTCCCAGAAGACTACAGGACCATTCATGAAGCGCAGCACTACTCGCGCATGCGCAGTGGGTACCCAGCTGTGAAGCTGCAAGCGATCACAGCCGGGTGCCCACACTGAAGATACCGGCCTCCTGGAATACAGGATGGCCGGTGAAACAGGCTGTGGGGAACACTGTGGGACAGGTAAGTGCCTGTTTTTTAAAACTTAGCAGCTACAGTTTTTGTAGCTGCTGACTTTTATTTCTTGACAGGGTGAGTGGAACTCCGCTTTAAGTCCAGCTTTTTTTTTTTTTTACTAGGTGGTGTCAGCCAAGCGCCTTATGCTTGAATATTCAACCACACCTATTCTAAGATCTCAAAAAACATAAAGGCTGATTATTCTGCAGTCCAATGTAAGAACTAGGAGACCTCTTTCAGATAACACAGGAAGTGTGCACAGTACACAGGACAGATATACTAGAAGAAGAAGCTTCAGATGCACTTCTCATTGGTCACAGTCAGGGGGATAATTACTTCGGGGCAGTACATTGCAGCACACAGACCTCTAAACCAGTGTTTCTCAACCTTTTTTCAGTCAAGGCACTGTTTAGAATTGTGCACAATGTTGGGGCATGCCAGTGTGAGAGCTTGTTCACACCACAAAGATAACACAGAATGCTCTCAGATCGGAACTGTAAAGGGTTTCATTACTGCCCACAATTTCTATTATCAGGACAGCAATAGTGTGTGGAGGAAAATGGTGGGTGGTAATCAAGCCTTGTACAGTTCGATCCACTCTGTGGTAACTCCTGCATACAGACAGGAGAGAGGGAGCACAGCCAGCGCCTCCTCCTGACTCTCCCCTACTATGCTGCCATCTGTACTCCTATCAACAACCCAGAATGCCAATTTCAGATGCTATTCGTTTTAAAGGCACCTACAAACAAAGTGTAGTTCTGCGACGATAAATCGCGGCAAACCACATCGCGAGAAAGTTCCTGCATCTGAAATTCATGTTGTGTGATTTGTCAGTTTAGCAGAGCGTTTTAAAATCAATTCAAAATGCCCAGGTGTGAATGAAGCCTTAGAGTTAGTGGAACTGCAAGCATGATGTGCGTTTTGCTATGTGTTACGCACATTGCCAGAGACAAGGGCAGAAACGCACGTTCCTGGACCCCTTAGGTGCGATGCAGCCTACAGATTAATGGCACTACAAGCATGATCTGCGTTTTGCTACGTGTTACGCACATTGCCAGAGACGAGGGCAGAAACGCACATTCCTGGACCATTTAGATTCAATACAGCCTACAGATTAATGGCACTGTAAGCATGATCTGCGTTTTGCTACGTGTTACGCACATTGCTAGAGACGAGGGCAGAAACGCACGTTCCTGGACCCCTTAGGTGCGATGCAGCCTACAGATTAATGGCACTGTAAGCGCGGTGCATGTTTTGGTGCGCTTTTTGCACATTTCTGCATGCGTTCCTGGAACAGGAGGCCTGAAGGTATGTAGAAGGGGGACATTACCCGGTATAGTCCTGGCGTAGTTGGCGGCACACCTACAGCTCTCCTTCTTGACCTCTGGGAAGGGGTCTACGATGGTCCTCTGGAATATCCTCACCATCTCCTCCAGGTAAGGGGCCAGTTTCCTCCCACACACCTCCACAAGCAGGCTCAGGAGCTCTATGAGGCCCAGTCTGAGCTCCTCAGAGGGCTCTGTGATTTCCTGGTGGCCCAGGCGCTGGCTGATGGCCGGGATCAGGTAGGGCAGGCTCTCCTCAGGCTGGGGCATATTGGAGATACAGTAAGTGATGATCTGGATGGCCACCTCCCGGCACTTCTCCATGGGGTCCGCTAAACACCGCAGCAGAGGCTTCAGCAGCTCCCCGAACACCTCCTGCAGAGCCCCGCTGGACAGCCGCTTGTCCTCAGCTTCCTTCTGAATGGCGGCCAGGGCTCTCCTCCGGGTGGCCTTGTTGTCATCGTTCAGGCAGTTCAGGTGCCGGGCCACCGCCTGAGACACTTCAGTAGCCGCACGTTGCTCTCCCTCCGCCGCCATGTTTGCCGGCCTTAGTTACCACAAGCAGCTTCCTCACCTCAGCGCAGCAACGCCGCTTTCAACAAGCTTTCTTCACAACGAACATTCGGCTGCGGAAGAGGCAGACACTGGTTGCTAAGCAACACAGGCTGTAAGGCCTGTCTGGCGTCCTCCTCTAGAATAGGATTGTAAAGGCGGTTTAACTGTCCAGAACGTTGAAGGACTTTGAATTTAAATGAAATGATACGAACAGACTTTCCAACCTTTTTCAACTACTTCCAGATCAAGCCTTTTCAGAACGTTTTTGTTTACATGTAACAATCAGTATTTTTTTGCTAGAAAATGTCTTAGAAACCCCCCCCAACGTTAAATATATTTTTAAAGCAGAGGCCCTAGAGAATAAATTGGTTGGCTTTGCAATTTTTTATGGCACATGGTATATAGCCAGCAGTTTTTCAAATGCATTTTTTGGGGGCAAAAAAATCACCTTTTTGAATTAAATGCAATAAAACACAATGTATAACCTATTGTTTGGTAAAATATAAAAGATGATGTTACGCCGAGTAAATCGATATCAAACATGTCACGCTTTAAAATTGCGCATGCCCATGCAACAGTGACAAATGACAAATTTTACTATCCATAGGCGACACTTTCAAAGCCTTTACAAGTTATCCCTTTAGATTTTCAGGGGAGGTCTAGTGTTAGAATCACTGCCCGTGATCTGATGTTGACAGTGATATGTCACGTGCGGGATGATCGTTGCTTGTGCGCATGCGTGCGAGACCGATGCGCACAAGCACGGGGGGGGGGGGGGTGGTGCTTTCATTTATTTATTTTTTAATTACTTAACCTCTTCCCTACTGTGCTATAGCCGAAAGACGGCTACAGCGTGGTTGTCTAGTTCTGGGATGACATCCATGGACGTCATTCCAGAACATGCCCCCAGCGAGCCGACAGTGATTGCTGTGTCACGTTATACGTAAACGACCAATCACAGCGGCCTTTTACCACGTGATCAGCTGTGTCCAATGACACAGCAGATCACCGGGTAAATACAGTTGCCAGTTATGGGCTGCACTTTCCTCACACTGTCACAGCGTGAGGAAAGTACTGCCGATAACCAGCAACTGTCAGAGAAGTGATCGGCACTGATGACCAGTGCCCAGCAGTACCGCCCACCTGTGCCACCCACCTGTGCCCATCAGTGCTACCCACCTGTGCCCTGCAGTGCCACCCACCTGTTCCTATCAGTGCCATCCACCTGTGCCCAACAGTGCAGCCCAGCAGTGCCACCTATCAGTGCCCAGCAATGCCGCTTATCACTGCAGCATCAACAGTGCCAGCTCATAAGTGCCACCTATCAATGCCACCTATCAGTGCTGCCTATCTATGCCACCTCATCAGTGCTGCCTATCAGTGCAGCCTCATCAATGCACATCAGTGAAGGAGAAAAATTACCTGTTTGCAAAATTTTATAATAGAAAAAAGAAAAACTTTTTTTCTTCTTGCTATTTTTTTGTTTATAGCACAAAAATTAAAACACCCAGTGGCGATTAAATACCACCAAAAAAACAGCTCTATTTGTGTGAAAATAATGATAAAAAATTTCATATGGGTACAGTGTTGCATGACTGCGCAATTGTCATGCAAAATGTGATAGCTCTGAAAGCTGAAAATTGGCCTGGGCAGGAAGAGGGTATAAGTGCCCGATAGGCAAGTGGTTAACTAATGAATTAATTAATTTTTTAACTCTTGCTTTATTTATTTTTTTTTAAATCACTTTTATTGCTGTCACAAAGAATGTAAATGTCCCTTGTGACAGCAATAGGCCTGTGACAGGTACTCTTTATGGAAGGATCTGGGGGTCTATAAGACCCCAAATCCCTCCTGTGCTCTTAAAAGCATTCAATCATGCCAAGATCGGTGTGATTGAATGCTTTTATTTTTAAAAAAATGGCACCATGTATTTCCATGTAAACTGGAAGTGTCATCATTTCCGGGTTACCTTATCATAGAGCCGAACAAATCTAATCCAGTCTTTGTTCAGCTCCATGACCAGCTGGTTGATGATGAGGACTCCCAGTGGAATGGGAGATCGGGTTAAAGCGGCGGAATGGGGGGGAGGACATCCCCTCCCGTAGCTTATAATAGTAATTGGGCAGCTAGTTAGCCGCTCCAATTGCTTTTTCAAGGTATCCACCCGTCGGCACTAGATAATGGTACTAGGATGATACCCTCAGCTGCAGGCATCATCCTGGTGCAAACACTTGATGTACCAGGTACATGACTGATCGGCAAGTGGTTCAAGTGGAACTAAAACCATCAATTTAAAGCAGAACTAAACCTTCATTTCTCTTTCAGCCAAGGAAGCTGCCATCTTAGCCTCTGCTTGATCTACAGTTTCCATGGAGCTGCACATGTGATCAGTTATGACAACAGCCATTTGATGGTTTAATTGTTTGGTTAAGAGCACAAGCCACCATGACTGTTAATATTACGGACACGTAACTGTTTTTTGAAACCTTTACATCAAAGGGTTTAGTTCCTCTTTAAACTGCAGTTTAAAAATTCTTAGATGTAATGAATGCATTCGGGTTTTTTTTTAGTCTTTTTTCCTTTATTTTCACTCATTGATCCAACCAGTACACTTGCTAGTTTTCAACTTCTTTTAAAACCGCTTCCTGGCCACCCTATAGCAGAAATACTGCTACAGGGTGGCATGGGTGCACAAAATCACATATAGGTGATTTTGCATTCCCGGGTAGGGGGCGCCGCCATTCTCAGCGGTTAATCACCGGGTCCCCGACGATAATTACTTGCCTGGTGATTTCCGAAGATCTCCGACGGGGAGGAGAACTGTTTTATTTACTAACAGTTCTCCTCCCCGTCAGCTTGGGCACAACCACAAAGCACAGCCATCCAGAGCAGTGTGATTACAGTGAAGCACACTGACATGGCTCCCTAGTAAAACACTCCCAGCACACAGTTAACCCTTTGATCGCCCTCATGTTAACCCTTCCTGCCCAGTGCCATTAGTACAGTAGTATATAATTATATATATAAATATATATATTAGTACAGTGTCAGTGCTTTTTTTTTTAGCACTGATCACTGTATTGGTGTCACTGGGGATGTCAGTGACACCAAGTCAGTTCTCCCCAGTGTTAGAATGTCCGCTGCAGTCCCGCTATAAGTCACTGATCGCTGCCATTACTAGTAAAAATAAAAATCCAAGTATATATACCGCCATTCATTTTTTAGCAAAGACATGTAGCAGAATACATTTTGGCATAAATTTATGACAAAATTTGGACATATTTAATAGCAAAAAGTCAAAAATATTTGTTTTTTCCTTAAAATTGTTGGTCTTTTTTTTTTTTTTTCATAGTGCAAAAAATAAAAAACGCACAGGCAATCAAATACCACCAAAAGAAAACTCAATTTGTGGGAAAAAAGGATGTAAATGTCATTTGGATGCAGCGTTGCATGACCGGGTGATTGTCAGTTAAAGTAACGCAGCGCCGTAACGCAAAAAATGGCCTGGTCAGGAAGGGGGGTAAATCCTCAGGAGGACAAGTGGTTAACAGACCAAGCAGCCCGGCAAAAGTGTCAGTTAGAGGGTTGAGACAAACCATTTAGGCTACATTCTCATGGCCATAAAAATTTAACTGATCGTTAGGAAAGGAACAAAAGCTCCTGCATAAATGATCAGTTTTTTGTAATGTGTAGAAATTGTCCTGTACTTCTCGATGGCATACATGTATATGTATGTCCTCAGGCACAGCCTTTTGGATTTTTGGTTATGGATCTTTATGCACCTGTATGAATGTCTCCAATTAAAACAATGCAGTTGCCTTCAGATCATTAAATAACAAAATAGCTATATTTTACATTTTTTTTATGGCTGTGTGGATGAGGCCCTATAATGGAACTAAACTCCCTGGTATACTCACCTCTACCTTCGAGTGTTGTCTGCTGTCATCTTCTCCCGTATGCCAGTTTTGGGACCTTTTGATTGGCTGGCGGGTGATGACATCATCCCACGCATGCACACAGGAGTCCGTTATTCAGGCACAGCCGCAATGGACCAGGAATACATGATGAGCTGTGCATGTGCTTCTCACTGTACATTCATTGGAGAGCTATAAGCAGGCAGGTAAGTGGGTATTAATGCAGAAGAGGCATAGCATGTCTCTCCTGCAATAAAGAGTTGCCTGCTTGCAGTTTTGTAGGTTTAGTTCCGTATTATCTCTGATAGGGGTGCTTACAATGATCAGCTTTTATTAATTTATGTAAAACCATTATCCCAAAAGGAAAAAAGAACTGTTTGCTGCAACTGCTTATAAAGTGTTAGGCCTCATTCACACGGGCTGTTTGAACCCATGCTTTGTATAAGGTTTTACTGGAATGGGGATGCACAGGTGTTGCATGCATCCTGGTGATGGCAGTCCCTGTCTATTGGGGCACAGTGGCTGCACAGACACAGGTGCTGCTCCTAATGTGACATCTCTGCATGTGCAGTTGCACAGCTGCAAGATAGAGAATAAACAGGTGTGCACACACCTAGTGCAATATCCAAGGTTTAT